CCTGGGGGGGGGTCCCTGCCCAGCCAATGACAGTCGCGGGGGGCCTGTGACAGCACAGCCTGGCTTGGGTACCGAGGCGAAGGGGCAGCTCCCCCTGCCAAGCCCCCCTCCTCAACTGGCCTACGTGGGGGAAGGGGAGGGGCTGTATCCTCCAACCGCACCTGGCGCGCTCAGCCCCAGTCCCTGGCAGTGGGGGTTGGAGGGGGCTGGACCCCCCCAGCCACTTCTCTCACTGGTCCCTCTGGGTCACGGCTCCATCCCGGGCAGCAGCGGCCTGCGAGCCCGACTGGAGTGAGGGGGGACACAGGGGCTCTGGCCCATCTACTTTTTGCTGGGGCAGACCTCGCCTGGCCCTTCCCCTCCAGTTCCCCCTCAGGATCCCTGAGCAGCTGCGGGGAGCCACATACCCTCCACCTGCAGGGCTTTCACAGCAGCTCCCAGCTCATGTCCCCACCCCTCAGGTTCCCCAGCCGCCCGGGGCAGGAGAAGAGTTCACGACTCCACACCAGCTCCCACGGCTGCCCATGTGGCTCTCCCCAACCCAGCTTGGGGGGTGGGGGGACAGGGCCTCCCCCAGCTGGTACCATAGGGTGGGGAGAGTACGACAGCCCCAGGCTGAGCCCAGGGCGGGGGGCATGCAGGGCAGAGGAGGCACATGGGGCAGCCACGCGTTCGCCTTTAGATGGTGCCCCTCCCCCTCATGAGTCATCTACGCTTGGGTATGACCAAGCGCTGGCTGGGATGATTGCGTTGGGGTTGGTCCTGCTTTTTGGGGGGCTGGACTCGATGACCCCTGGGGTCTCGTCCAGCCCTAGGATTCTATGCAGACATGCGCTGCGATCACACCCCCTCTCTGCAGTGAGAAACCAACACCCCTCCATGGCGTTTGGTGTGTGTTTCTCCGCGGTGTCCAAGACGCTAGCCACGTGGCTATTTGGCTGGGGGAGCGTGGCTGGCTGGCTGTAGCAGTAGCCACTACAGTTGGACAGCACGGGTGTAGATTCTCCCCTATACAGTGTAACTCCTGCTACTGATGAGAGAAGGGAGACAGCCGCACTTCGTTACACTGTCAAACAGGCAGCCCTAATCGAGTGTATTTCGAGCTTGCTCTGGAGGAGTTCTCCACCAGCTGCACACCCTCAACCTGTTTCTCAGTGACACTGGGGGTCCCTGCACGCCACTCCGGCAACAGGCGGAAAGTGGGTGTAACTTACAGTCACCGGCTGACAGGGCTGACTCACACGTGGGTGGCCCCACATCAGCGGGGCCTGGTGTCGCTCACTGGAGATGCTGCTGCTCAGCCCCCGTTTTGCTTGTTGCACACGCAGGAAGAAGACGTGAAGGACGTGGTCCGGAGCGAGATGAGTGACGCATGCGGTAAGTCCACCGAAAGAAGCCCCGGTTGCTGAGAGGCGGCTTTGCCGAGATGCCTAAATTGGAGCAATTTGAATGCCAGCACAGCTCTGCGTGGCGGAGTTAATATCATCCCATTATCTGCAAACGCCGGTCCAGCCCCCCGATGAATACAAGCATCCGCGGGGCACCAGGGCCCTACTACAGGCTTGACCTCCTTCCCTGGCTGTAATTTTTCCTCTTGATCTCTCCGTGTTTCCATTTCTATTCAAATGGATTTCGGAGCAATGTCTTTCCCGCACCGCCACGCTGCCGGCTCCCTGGGGCAGATGGCACTGGATGGGACAGGGCCGTGGGGGACTCGCACGCCCCTAACGGTGGCTTCCTAGAACCGCTTCGTCCAGTGGTTCTCAAACGAATTTCCTGGCGCCCCAGTTGAAGAAAACTGTTGATACCTGGGACCCACCGGAGCTGGGGATGAAGGGTTTGGGGTGCGGGAGCTGGGAGGGGGACGGAGGCAGAGGGTTGGAGTTGCAGGGCTGAGGGCTCTGGAGTGGGGCTGGGAATGAGGTGCTCAGCGTGAGGAAGGGATTCTGGGGTAGGGCATAGGGCTGAGCTGCAGGAGGGGTCAGGGCTCTGAGCTGGGGGTTCATGCTCTGGAGAGGGGTCGGGGATGAGGGACTTGGGGTACAGGAGGGGGCTCTGGGCTTGGGGGGCTCATGGCTGCAACAGGGGATTGGGGCATGGGCTTACCACCAGCAGGTTTCTTGCCTCTCCTGGAACTGCAGACCATGCTGAGCCCCAGAAGTGCTCAGCAGCAGGTCTGACTGAGGCGGAGGTGCGCAAGCAGCTCCGTGCAGCTCTCACCCCTAGGCCCTGCTGCCCCAGCTCCCATTGTCCAGCTCCCGTCCAATGGGAGCGTGGCACGGGTGACTGGGGCAGGAGCAGCATGCAGAGCCCCTTGACCCCCCCACCTAGGAGCGGGACCTGCTGCTGGCCACATCTGGGGGGCAGCGCGGTGTCAGAACCCACTGGGACTCGCTCAGTGGTTTTCAAAGACAGGGTCATGCCCCCGCATTAGCCGGGACTTTTAATGGCCCGGTCGGCCGGGCTGACCAGAGCCACCGGGGTCCCTGGGAGGCTGAGCAAGGCGACCCGGCGCCTGACGTTCCGCACCCCAGTACGGGGTCACGCCCGCACTTTGAAAAGCTTAATCCCATGCCAACCCTCTGGCTCCTCCCAGTAACTGCACAGAAAGGCACCTCCTTTTCGGCAGCAGCTCTGGGAGGGCGAGGACGCCGATGTTCAGAGTTCAAGGTACAGCACAACTCCCATTCCCTCAACTGTGACTGGGGTGCTGATATAGCCACTGCCACTCACCTTCCTGCTCTCTGGGGCTTCTCATCGCCCGGTCCTGCTGGGCCAGCTCGGCTGGTCTCCCCCAGACAAGACCCCGAGCTGAGGTCCCTGCCCCCCAAGAAGCAGTACAGACACTGAACCTCTTCAGGTCCAAGGAAAGGGCAGATTAGGGTCCAGCCTCCTGCGATACCACTCCCCAAATGGGAACAAACCCCAAAGATTAGAAAATCTTTGTGATAGAAAATCAAAGTGATTTTATTAAGTGCAAGCCGTAGGATTTCAGTGCTAAGAAGTGAGAACAGGCAGAGCAAACTCAAAAGAAACAAAACGCTTGGCTCACTCGACACTGAAACTTCAGTACAAACCTTTCAAACTCACCCTGAAATCTCTTTTCCAGCTGCCCCTCCAAACCAGGGCTGTTTCCCCACTCTGGGGTCTTCAGCCCCTTCCTTTAGGTGCAACCCAGCCCAAAGACCCACACCCCTGTTTTCCTATTCTTTTTTAAGGAATTGAGGTCACCCCCTACCAATCACTGCTCAAACTTAAAGACAAACAAGACTGTTTAACAGTTGTTCATTGAGGCTATGTCTACACTACAGGGTTTTTTTTTGGCCATTTTGGCTTTTTTTTTGGCCATTTTTGCCCCAAAACCTGCAGAGCTTCCATACTTCAAGCGCATTTTTGTGCACGAAAATTTATAGTGAATCGACAGAACAGAGGGGGGGTTTGCGGTGCAGGTATTCCTCTTTCTACGAGGAATAACTCCTTTTTGCGCAAGAGCTCTTGTGCAGAAAGGTGTGTGTGGACAGGAAACGGGATTTTTTTGCGCTAAAACAGCCCATCGAAAGACGCGCAGGTGCCCTGGTGGCCATTCTGTTAATGGCAATCAGAGCTTTTTTGTGAGAGAGTGCCCATGCAGTGTGGACGCTCTCTTGCGCAAAAGTGCATCGCTTTTCTGATGCGTTTTTGCCGTGTGGACACGCTCTTGTGCAAGAAGTTTTTGCAGAAAATCTCTTCTGCAAAAAGCTTCTTGCACAAGAAGCCTGCAGTGTAGATGTAGTCCAAGATATCAAGGGAACACCCTCCATGCCTCTCATTCACGCGCTTGAAACCCACAAAGTATTCCCCACTCCATGGCTGTGTCTACACTGGGCCACTTATTCTGGAAAAGCAGCTGCTTTTCCGGAATAACTTGCCAGCTGTCTACACTGGCCGCTTGCTTTTCCGGAAAAGCACTGACGATCTACTGTAAAATTGTCAGTGTTTTTCCAGAAAAACTATGCTGCTCCCATTCGGGCAAAAGTCCTTTTCCGGAAAAACTGTTCCAGAAAAGTGCCAGTGTAGACAGCACGGTAGTCGTTTCCGCAAAAAAGCCCCGATTGCGAAAATGACGATCGGGGCTTTTTTGCGGAAAAGCGCATTTACATTGGCCACGGACGCTTTTCCGGAAAAGCATCTTGCTAATGTAGACGCTCTTTTTCCGGAAATACTTATAACAGAAAACTGTTCCGTTTTAAGCATTTCCGGAAAAGGGTGCCAATGTAGACGTAGCCCTCATGTCTAACTTTACACACAAAAATGATACATACATCAAAGTAAGGTAAAGAGAACCAGCCGATCATGACATGAAGAGTGACAGGTTACATGAAATAATTTGCTCAAAGCATCTTTGAGTTATGTATATTCATGTCCATAAGTCCGTTTCATAAAGCATGGGGGGAGGGGTCCGTCACACCAATGTCTTTGGAAACACTTTTCTCTGGGTTCATAGACGTAGGAGCATTGTGCTCCTGTTTCAACAAGAAAGAGTTCTAGATAATGGCGAATCTGAGAGGTGATCTCTAAATCATACTTAAAACCCTTTGTTTTCAGTTTAAACCCATATTTACTGGAAAAAAAAACCCTGGGTTTGACAAAATTATTATTTGTTTTTTTCCAATTTTCATCCTATTTTTGTATCATGCAGGCATCTAAAAATAACGTCTTGTATTGGGAAAATACAACAGATTTCATGAGATGTGTGTATTATGATAATACGTGAGTTTGTCTGCTAAATAAGGCTGTCTTTTAATCTAGAAAATACACACAACAAACCAACAAACACACACACAAGCTCGCAAGTGCACGCACATCTGAACAGGCTGATGAATCTCGCACCCACCATGTGCACATGTCAAGTTGTTTGCTGATAGTGTAAAGATCTGAGGGAAAACAAAATCTGTCTGAGTCTATTTCAGAACCCCAGAAAGTATTCAAAAGTTTAAAAAAAAAAAACCCAAAGTCATGAGAAAAGGAGGAAGCTGAGTGTATGTGCTGCAACACCTGTTTATTGGGTGTGCATATTTATAGGCTAATAGTTCTGCATCTCCAAAGTAAACTGTTTATTCAAATGAAAAGTTTTACTTGGGGATTAGAGATCTATTGTTATCTTCAATTCACAGATGGCAGTGTGTGTTGAGTTTGTTTTAGTTCGGCAGAAAACCACACTGAATTCCGTTCATCAGAGTATTAATCTACTGAATACTCTTTTCTCCTGCCCTTCCGTCCATCAAAATAAACCCTGATATTTACCCAGATAAATTATTAATAGTTTTTCCACCAATTTTCCCCAGGTTTTGTTGTTGTTCTAATAACCACCAATTAATTCCCGGGGGAAAATTAACTGAAATAAACTCTGAAAATGAAGGGCCTGAGCATACGTCTACACAGCAAAATTATTTTGAAATAACTTAGTCCTACTCTGCACAGCAGGTAGCTATTTCGAAATAATGTTGAAATACTGACAAGCTGGAGGACTTCTAACTCCGACTCCTGTAACCCTTAGGCTGTGTCTACACTGGCCAGTTATTCCGGAAAATCAGCCGTTTTCCGGAATAACTTGCCAGCTGTCTACACTGGCTGCTTGAATTTCCGGAAAGGCACTGACGATCTAATGTAAAATCATCAGTGCTTTTCCGGAAAAACTATGCTACTCCCGTTCATGCAAAAGTCCTTTTCCGGAAAACTGTTCCAGAAAAGGGCCAGTGTAGACAGCAAAGATTTCTTTTCCGCAAAAAAGCCCCAATCGCAAAAATGACGATCAGGGCTTTTTTGTGGAAAAGCGCGTCTAGACTGGCACAGACGCTTTTCCGCAAAAAGTGCTTTTCCAGAAAAGCATCCTGCCAATCTAGACGCGTTTTTTCCGAAAATACTTTTAACGGAAAACTTTTCCGTTAAAAGCATTTTTGGAAAATCATGCCAGTGTAGACGTAGCCTTATTGTATGAGGAGTGAGGGAAGTCGGAGGAAGAGTGCTCTGTTTAGAAACAAGTGGGCTGTGGGCTCAAGATCAGCTACCTGCAGTGGGGAGAGGCAGTGATAAGGCGGGAGTCAGGCTGCAAACAAACAGGCACAGGAGCTAACATAGTTGTAGAAAAGTATTTTATTAGCCACTGGAACTGCTACTTAGCCAGACGGTCCCCAGCTTGTACCAATGCTTGGGATTCTTCTGCCCCCAGTGCAGGACTCTACACTTGTCCTTGTTGAACCTCATCAGATTTCAATCCTCTAATCTGTCTAGGTCACTCTGGATCCTATCCCTGCCCTCCAGCGTATCTACCTCTCCCCCTAGCTTAGTGACATCTGCAAGCTGAGGGTGCAACCCATCCCCTCATCTGGGTCATTAATAAAGATGTTGAACAAAACTGGTCCAAGAACCGATCCTTAGGGCATTCCACTAGAACCCGGCCGCCAACCTGACATCGAGCCGTTGATCACTACCCGTTGGGCCCAACAGTCTAGCCAGCTTTCTATCCATCTTACCGTCCATGTATCCAATCCATACTCCCTTATTTCGAGTTAAACCCTGATGTGTAGACGCACCCTTAGTCACAGTGCAGTATGCAATGCAGGCCATGCACTGTGTCATTAATGCTCTGTAAAAAAGTGAAGACCAGGATTTTAACAGGGTTCAGAAAAGAGCTAGATATATTCATGGAGGTTAGGTCCATCAGTGGCTATTAGCCAGGATGGGTAGGAATAGTGTCCCTATCTGCTGTTTGTCAGAGGCTGGGAATGGGCGATAGGAGAAGAATCACTTGATGATTATCTGTTTTGGTCACTCCCTCTGGGGGAGACAGGACACTGGGCTGGATGGACCTTTGGTCTGACCCCGTCTGGCCGTTCTTATGTTCTTAAGCCACATGACAAAGCCATTCATTCCTTACTGCTTGTTAACGAATGTCTTGTGAAGCAATCCTTGTTTTCTTCCCCATGGGGAGTTCTGACGTTTCATCAAAAAGCACAAAAGTTTTCAGGTTTTGACTAAAACCACTCTGGCCTTTTTCAAGCAAAGCAAAAACTTTTTGTCAACATCTTTGTGGAGCTGAAAACCTGATTTCGATGGAAAATCTTCGCCCAGCCTTAACCCTGCCTCTGACCTCACGATGCCTTTCCTTCTTTAGTCTTGGGTTTGCTTTATTCATGAATGGCTGTCTTTCCTATCTTTGCAGCTTGTGCAGGCAAGATGGAACGAACGTCCACAAGCAGCGGTAAGTTTATCGTTCATGTCACCTGAAAACCACACGTGGAGTTTTACAGTCAAATCAAAGACATGGGCCCAGAGCCACAAAAGGGCTTAGGTGTTGCAACTTCAAAGCACCTAGAAAATAACAATGCACAAAGCCTGAGTCAGGTCCCTACACTCCCTCTACAATGATGTAGAGAGAGGAACCTTACGCCAGTTCCGACTTACATACAGATTCAACTTAAGAACAAACCTACAGTCCCTATCTTGTACGTAACCCGGGGACTGCCTGTACCTCTCCCAGCAATCCACAGGGAGACGCCTGTCTCCGTGAGGCAAGAGGAGGCGGAGCCATATCCCAGACAGCTGTTAGCCTAGTGATTAGGGCACATACCCAGTGTCGTGGGAGAATGAAATTCGATATTATTGCAGTCAGACATTTTGTGTCTCCAGCCACTGCTAACTAAAAACCAAATGCCATATAATGAAAAATAGTTTTTAAACTCTAAAACGCTACTCTTTTGCTCATCACACGCCTGTGAATGCATCCCAGAATCATGTTGGCTTTTTTTGCAACAGTGTCACTCTGTTGACTCATATTTAGCTTGTGGTCCACTATGACCCCTAAATCCCTTTCTGCAGTATCCTTCCTAGACAGTCGCTTCCCATTCTAGGTGCTCCCATAATGCAAATAAATAACGCCGATGAACACCACCTTTGCATTTTAAACCGGGGAGCCTGTCGCGACTGTTCTTGTTCCCGGGTGAGCATCCGGGTGCTCACATCTTCCCTGGGCCTTGTACAAAGAAGAAGCCACCTCCCGCCATTTTGTGTGATCAGCCCCCGAATGGTTCTGTCTACATTATATTTCAAAATAATAACTCCCGAAATCACTATTTCCAAATAAGCGTATCCCTCTTCATGAGCCAGAGTTATTATTTCCAAATAACAAGCCCTTTGTTTCAAACTAGGGTAGTGAGGAGGCTCATCTAGTTATTTCGAAATAGCGCCCCAGTATAGACGTGCCCAATGGTGCAAAAATTCCTCATGCATGCACCTCACAGAGTAGGCCTGGAACTGGGCCAAGCAGCTTTTCCGAACAGGAACATCTGTCCCTGCAGGGGCACATACCCACACACGGCTTTGCACTGTTCAACCCGCTTTGCTTCTAACACAGCTGCTAAGTTTGGGGGCCCACTGTAGATCCAGCTAATAACTGAAGCATCCCTGTGAACTGAAATAGTAGCCAGGAGTAGCCTCAGTAAATCTGTAGATCTGTATGTGGTTTGAAGCTAGGCTTCTCCTGCCATCACAGCACTGAGGTCTCCTCTCCACACTGTGCCAATGCTTTTCATTCAGGGAAAGCCTTTCCCTTGCTGATTAAATCTGAAGACCCCAGCGCTGACTCTCCAGCAGGTACGGGCCGGAATATCAACGAGAATTTTCAGTCGCCAGCGCCCGTAGCGAAGGCGGACAGAGCGCAGCAAGAATTACTTAGTGAAATACAGAACGTGACCCAGCCAGCAAGGCCTAGCATGGAATCAGCGCCATTTCTGACAGGTAATTTATGTTCCTCTGTGTGCATTTTAGCTTGGGCTACCCCTGAAGACAACCCCCTCCCCACCTCGCCCACAGCAGGCTGGGAATTGTACTGTAAAACCCCTGCCCAGTAGGGTTGGAACGAGGGCCGTGTCAAGAGCACTGTTGGCATAGGACGGGAAAGCCATGAATGGAAACCACTGAGCGCTGATTGTTGGGAAACAAACCTAGAACTAGCCGCAGTGAGGGTCCCACGTGCCGTGTTAGTGTGGCGGCGAGATGGAGAGACCTGGCCCGTCATGGACAAATGTTGTACAGGTTGGAACTCCCGAGTCCAGCAGCCTCAGGGCCCGAGGGGTCCCAAACAAGGGAGTTTGCCAGTCAGGTCTCCGGGGCTCCCCTCCTGGCCCATCATCTCCATCCATTGCCGCTGCTCCCAACCAGCCTGCCAGGCATTACTAACCCTGGCCACCAGTCCTGTGGGCTGCCTATCCCCTACAGGTCTCTGCTCCAGCTGCCAGCCCCCAAGCCGGGGCCTGCTCACAGCTGCTGGCCTGTGGGCTACCGATGGGGGTCCGTTGCTGGCCGGGACTCTCTGCAGGCTGCTGGCCTAGCAGACCAACTGCACCCAGCCCCTAGCAACCTCTCTGGCTAGGGCTTTCTGGTCCAGCAACATCCATGGTCCTGCCGGACCAGAGAGTCCCGAATGAGAGAGGTTCAGCCCGTGGTACTTTTACAGTCAGAGTGGCGAGGCAGGACACTGAGCCCGCTGGGCATAACAGATGATTGTATCGGACCAGCTGAGCCATGGAAGGCACCGAGGGCAGGAGTTTTGGGGATGGGGAGGGGACAAAAGTCCAGCCCTGACAGCGTGTTGCTCCTTTCAACCAACCTGGAGAGCCAGATGTGGGAATTACCGGGTGATGTTTTCCAGGTTTCCTGTGTCATGAAGGTCCAATTAATTTATCTTAATTGCCCCTCTGACCAAGGATACCCCAGACTCTTTGTAGAAGGGGGGGGACGTCATGGCCAAACTCTCCCCTCCCTCTCCATAGCCAGCTGATCTGCTAGTACACCAGCGTGCCCTCTCTTATAGCACCCTAGCAGCCCCTGGTGGCTGAAAGATGTAATTGCAGCACCTCCCAGGCAGGATCTATTATTCTATGGGGGGGGGGGAAAGTCTGCAGGGACATGAATTCTGTGCTTGTGTTTCTTTTGTTAAAAAGAGGGGGAGCATGGCCCTCTGGCCTCCCGGGGTCCGGCACTGGTGCTTCTGGCTTTAAATCTATGGAATAAGGAAGCTCTGGATGGCAGATTTATACAAGGCTCGTAGAAAAAAGCGTTAAAATCTACCCTGTTCCCGACCCATTTGGTAGCTCACAGGTGTAAGGTCACTGATAGAATAGCTCGAGACACTAGCATTTGCTAATAATGTTATACGTTAAGTTGCCCTTTGGACGTTGGTGGCTAGTCAAAGTTCTTGGCTGCGCGGGCGTTCCAGGTGGGAGTAGAAGTTAAAGATGGCGTCTGGGATGTTCTTTCAAACAGCCATGTTTACTTACAAGGCATGTGCAAAGTCCTGTTTCTCTGAACACAGCAGGAGACAGCCCCTTTGCAGCATGCCCGGAACTCTGGGCCCAAAAAGCGTTTTCTTCTATCGTTATCTCAGGGTCACATGACTGTGCTTTCAGGCCGTCTCAGCTCAGCTTTTTCTCCCTCTGCTGTGTTTCCCCTGTCCCTTGTCTCTCCGTGTGGGATGGCTCTGTCCCACCAACACAGATAGTATGTGGCGGTGCTGGTGCTGTGGTGGTCCCAGGATATTAGTTCTTTTATTGGACTACTGCTGGTGAGAGGGACACGCTTTTGAGTTACACACAGTTCTTCTTTGGGTCTCCCGCCAGTCCTGAGGTACACACAGTTCTTCTTTGGGTCTCCCGCTAGTCCTGAGGAGAACCCTGTGCAGCTTGAAAGCTTGTCTCCCTCGCCAGCAGAAGTTGGTCCATTCCTAAGCACTCACTTTTATTTATTCCCAGGGGGTCCTCCCTGCAACCCCCCCCTCCCGAGGACCAATCCCAACTCCGCCCCTTCCCCGCAAAGCTCCACCCTCGCTCCGCCTCTTCCTGCCTTGCCACTGCGGGACAGCCGCCCAGATACCTCCCGAGGTGGCACAGAAAGGAACACGGTTGGGCCGCATAGGAAGTGTGGCTGGGCCCGTACAGCGGCCGCAACAGAAAATCTGCCTCCGTGACGACACAGACTGAACCAAGCTCTCTGAATGTGGTTCAGACGCCTGCCCCTCTCACCAGACACGTGGGGAGTGGGGCCTAGGGCACCTCCTTGCTTTGTGACCCAATGCCACCGCATGGGCAGCCCAATATCACACGGGCCCTGTACCGTGCTGCAAAACGTGGGCCGTGACCCGCTTTGAGGTCCTGACCCCCGGTTTGAGAACCGCTGGGTTACGTGAACGGAGAGAGCCGGAGGCAGGCTTGTGAGCCAACGCCAATCGCTGCAGTTAGGGACGAAATCGCCCAGACAGGCAGGCCTCCCTTGAAAACACAGCACTGTGATTTAAACAAGGAAGGGGCATGTCCGTGCTGCTTTGTACCATCTGCGAGAACTCCCCCAGGGACCGTCTACTTTCATATTGCCCAGACGGGAGGGATGCTCCGTGGCGGCTGCGAATCCACCTCCCCAAGAGGCCGTAGCTCGGTGGACAGAAGAATTTTTCCATCGACCTACCGCTGTCTACCTCAGTGTAGCTCCTTCTCCTGGGGGTGGATTTTTCGCACCCCTGAAGGGCATCACTGTGCCGATTTAAGTTCCCTGGCAGCCCAGCCCCCAGCAGCAGAAACATTCTGTCCAAGGGGCCCCTCGCTGTGGTATCTATGGGCAAAGTTCGATAAAGTGAGTCCTGGACCCATTTTAAAGGGTTCGTCGGGGCTAGCATTCGACTTGCTGAAGCTGACACGCAAGCCCCACTCCCCGGGTTCAGGTTTCCACCCATGGCCGTGGGATCCAGCTTTGGCTTTGGCCTCCTGGCCTAGGGTCATGTCGAAATTTGGGGTGTCAGAAGAGGGCTGCAGTGCAGTTGTAACCCACACACCTTGTGTGGTTCACTGTCCCATGCAGTGGTACCTAGACCACAGCAACCGCTAAGACCAAGAGACCTCGACAGCCTAGATTGAGAGCCAGCTGGCTTTTAGCTCAGAGGATAGAGGCTCCTATACTAAGCTTCAGAGGTCCCAGATTCAAATCCGCCTGGTGACGGTGACACAGTGACATTGGAGCACCCGGCGTGGACTCCAAAGACACATGAAAAAAAAGAGTCCCAACATCTAGAGACAGGCCCGTGTCCGACTGGGAGCTAAATCCAAACAGCCCCCAACGTGGTCTCTGGACCCAAGTTTTGCAGCCTTCCTGCTCTGTCCTCTAAGGTGCTGCCTACTCCGCGTTGGGGTCTTTACCATCCTTCGATGGCATCACCCAGCTGGCCTACATTGACTTCAAAGAAACATGTCGGCTCTCGGGAGTTTGCGATCAGCGACGCGGGCCCAGTTATTGGATCACAGCGGTGTCTGTCTCCAGCTGGCAGCCCCATTGGAGCGTGGGTTGCCAGGACCAGGGCACACGAATGGCTTTGCTAGGGGATGAGTTTGGATAAGCCCTCGAAATGCTACCGGGATTCGGCAATCAGGCAGCTATTACTGCTGGATGACTGTCGCGTCTGGCTTTTCAAACTTCTCAGATTTACAGAGCCTCGCTCTGACATTTATCTCCCTTCTCGCCCCAACCCCGCCGCTCGCTCCGCTTCCTCTAACATCTGACCTTTCTGGCGGAGTTGTTAAAAGCCATTAAGAATTTTATTGCTGCCGCTTTCCACCGCTCACCAGTTGTTTGGTGACATTTATCAAGAGCTTGTTATATGACGGAAAACCATGTAAGCCTGTAACGATCAATATTTAAATCCCGGCTAATTTATTTGCACGCCCTCATTAACTGTGATTTCCATTTGCTTTCGCTGCAGCTCCTGGTGATAAGCAGATAATGGATCAGCTCCAGCGAGAGCAGCAACATGCCCGTAGTCCATTAGAAGGTGAAATGCACTGAATTAAATGGCATTTAGGGAAGTCACTTTCAGGAGCACTCAAGGAGACGCACACACGGAGCCAGTTACACCAGCTAAATCTCTGTCTCTCTCCTACTGTGTGGAGACGGTGAACTTAGGCACTGGATTTTCCCCACTTCTTCAGATAACTAATTGCAACATGTTGCCGCCGGCAACAGTGTTCTCCAGCCCTGCCATGCCATGTCACGTGTCACAGATGGTGCTGGGGGCAGGGAGGGCCACGGAGGGTTAATCAGCAGTGGAAGGGTTAACCAGCACTTTTGGCGCTCAGACGCTAGTGCCTGGTGTGGTTTGCGAGATCCATGGTGGGAAAATGACCCCTAACTTTCCCGTCACTGGGAATCTGATTTTCTGCTGAGTAGTCGACTCGACTACTCTTTTACCTCCCTGTCCAGCGCTCCATTGATTTTCCTGAGGGTCCTATTCATCCAGGAACATCCCGTGTTGGTTTCTCCCTGCCATGCCAGGAAGGCCTAACGGTAGGCGAGCAGGAGCCGCAGGGGGTGTTGCAGGTGGGGACGGTAGAACATTTGGGGGGTCCCTCATGCAGGCTCTGATGCAGGACCCTGCAGGGAGGGGAACCTTGCCCAGCGCTAACGATGTTAAATATCGAGTAAATGACTAATCACAGACTCGATACAATTTGTATACACGATTAGTCGATAAGGGGCTGCTGCCACTCTGCAGTTTAAATGTAGTAGGAGCCGGGTGCGCAGGATCTGGGCCTAGCTCCCCCAGAATCCCCACTGCAACGAACCGGGCTGTTTACACACTCAGCTGCTGCGCGGCGGGAATAAGGGTGGCAAAGTCAGGCCAGCCTCTTTCGGTCCCAGCTCCAGCCCTGTGGTGGCTGCCTATGGACGAAGGCTCTTGCCTGCACTACACGCTGCTCTGGTATTACCACGGGGAAGCCGATGCCTGCAGGCCCTTCGTGTTCGGAGGCTGCGGAGGGAACAGCAATCGGTTTAAATCCAAACTCACCTGTGAGCGTCAGTGTAAAGTCACAACAGGTAGGGGGACTTCTCCTTTGCTTCTGCAGGAACACATGGGGGGAGACTGGCCCAGGGCCATTCTCATCCTTCCTGGAGCAAGGTCTGCAATGGCCTCCCCATCGGAGTAGCGGGGGGCAAGAAACCCAAGTGGTCTGAAGTTGGAATTTGATTGGGTTCGCAGTGGGACCACAGGAGGTCCTGGGTGGGGCCACACCGGTTACTTCTCCTACCCCTTCATAGCACTGGTGAGTCCTACGTTAGCCTCCTACCCCTCTCTGCCTTCAAAGAGCTCCTACAAAGCCATATCTCCTGGTACTCCCTAGCAGGCCAGACTTACCACTCCCGACGTGGCAGGAAAAAGGGAGACTCGGAGCAGTAAAAATCCATCCAGGTTTTTGTCACCAGCAGCTCGATTCAGGGCTCCTGGTGCCCCAAACATGGCTAAAGTGTTTCATTCCTGAGGAATCCATGTCTCTTTAAGAAGGCGAGGCCAGCCCCAGCCTCTGCGTCTGGAGTCCCGAAAACGGGACCTATTTCCCAGGCGCTGCCTGTCTGCACTCTGCTAGAACACACTGACCAGGCCGGCACTGGTGTTACCCATCCTGCTCCTGCCTCCGACTGGCTACGTGGGAGGACCCTGTGTTTTATAAGGCCTCAGACTCCTCCCATTCCCAGCATGCTTTGCTGAAAGGGACCCGTAGCATTCCCCAGCTCTCAGAGAAGGAAGCCTGCTGGATCGTACTCCAGTTCCAATCTGAAGTGGCCACCAGCTTTTCACAGTCCCCTTCCTGATAAATCCAGTTCCTGAAGGAACTATTTGATCCGAGGAAGTGGGTCTGGCCCACGAAAGCTCAGCACCTAATAAACCATCTTGTTAGTCTTTAAAGTGCTGCACAGTCCTGTTTTTTGAAAGAGCTGGGTTGCCTTTTTCCCTTCCACGTCTGGGACAGGCAGGTCATCCAAGCCCATCAGGACTTACGAGGTGACGTCGTCATGCAAGATTCATGTTTCTGTGCATGGCATTGGCCACATGGCTGCTTCTAGGCTGTAAGTTATTAGAAGGAAGGAGTAGGTTGGTTGGGTTGGGGGTTTTTTAAGTTTTTTTGTTTTTTGTTTTGTTTTTTTTTGTTTTTTTTTTTGTTTAGAACACTGCAAGCCATATCTAGGCAGGAGCCATCTTGAAAGCAGCTTTCAAATACCTAAAAGGGTTTCAGGGTGTTACAAGGAGAAGGAAGAAAAATTGTTCTCCTTAATCTCTGAGGACAGGACAAGAAGCAATGGGCTTAAACTGCAACAAGGGAGGGTTAGGTTAGACATTAGGAAAAACTTCACAACTGTCAGGATGGTTAAACACTGGAATAAGTTGCCTAGGGAGATTGTGGAATCTCCAACCCTGGAGATATTTAAAAGCAGATTAGATAGACCCCTTTCAGGGATGATCTAGATGGTGCTTGGTCCTGCCATGAGGCAGGGGACTGGACTTGATGACCTCTCCAGGTCCCTTCCACTTCTAGTGTTCTGTGATTCTTTGATCTATGATCAGCTGCTTTTGCGGAAAAACTTTCCAGCTGTCTACACTGGCCGCTTGAATTTCTGCAAGAACACTGACGAGCTCATGTAAGATTGTCAGTGTTCTTGCAGAAATGCTATGCTGCTCCCGTTCGGGCAAAAGCCCTCTTGCACAAATGCTTTTGCACAAGAGGGCCAGTGTAGACAATGCGGTATTGTTTTGCGCAAAAAAGCCCCGATGGTGAAAATGGCAATCAGGGCTTCCTTGCGCAAAACCGCGTCTAGATTGGCATGGATGCTTTTCCGCAAAAAGTGCTTTTGCGGAAAAGTGTCCGTGCCAATCTAGACACTCTTTTCCGCAAATGCTTTTAACGGAAAAACTTTTACGTTAAAAGCATTTGCGGAAAATCATGCCAGTCTAGACGTAGCCCTGTTATATTTCTGACACCTGAACACAGTCATGGAAGAGACACCTCAAATGTATATGGCCCTTACCTTAGCTCTCAAGGTTGTAGGCCTCCCTAGAGCATAGAACATGCTGAACATCATCCCAACGGCACATCAGATCTGGCGCTCTGCTGATTAGCAGAACGCCCACAGGTGGCAGCATGTATCTCTATTGGTGGTGCACATCCACATGTGCCTTGGTGCACATGACAACATTTATTCCACTCACAGATGGAAAAAAAATAATGGGAACATTGCCTGGCAGCATATCAAATCTGGAACAACGCTGGTGAGGAAGGCAAACAATGCACAATGCACAGCATCTCAGCTACTTTTTCAAAGCCAGACTTGCTTGGTAATGGAGGTGTAGCCGTGTTAGTCTGGTCTTCCTGAAACAAAAGACAGGACTATACAGCACTTTAAAGACTAACAGGATGGTTTATTAGGTGATGAGCTTTCGTGGGCCACACCCGGAAGTGGGTCTGGTCCACGAAAACTCATCACCTAATAAGCCATCTTTTTAGTCTTTAAAGTGCTGCATAGTCCTGTCCTTTGTTTCAGACTTGCTTGGGTAATTGAGTTTCCATCAATGGCATCATGGGACACACAGTCCTTCAATTATCAACTGCATCCAGAGACCTCCCATGTGGTGGTGAATTGCTTTGTACCCCGTGGGTCTCCCAGTTGCTGATTAGTGCCAATTAGTGGGTTCTGCTGTACAGCATCTCCCTCCTTGGGGTGAAATCCTAGCTCCAGCTAAGCCGAAGGCAAACGGCTCACAAGTTTGGGACTTCACCCTTGGTATTTTAGAACCCAGCTCTGTTCTCTCGTGCCGGGTCCCACGTTCCTGGTTCGACGTGCAGGGTTTTATCACGGTGCTGTGTTATTAAAGAAGGTTTGGGGTTTGGCATGCACGGGCCTTGGCAAACAAGTTGTTTAACTTTTTATTAAAGATACAGAAACAAAGGGGAGACAGTTCAAGCATCGGAAATGACAAGTCTGAAGTTAGGCTTTCATTGTTCCCTTGCCTTCTGCTGGAGAGACTTTTCGAAGGAACCCCCCTTGCCTAACAGTCTCTAGGGTGCTAGGAAAGATGGTGCTACCTGCCCTGTTGGGGGAAAGAGAAGAAGTCAGTTGAGATGCCCAATCCCATGTCATCTCAGTGGGATGCCGCTGGTGCTGTCAGGAGCGGTTACGCCATCTGGGTCCCTCTCTCTGGCCTGCTCTGGTCAGGACATCTTGTAGGATCAGGAAGATGAAGGCTTGAGGTCCCAGGAAATGGTGGGGATTGCAACCATGGTGGTGTCTCTCGGTCCAGTAGCCTCCGTCTGCTCTTTCTATCTCCTCTCTCCTCAGATCTTTCTGAAGGACCCACAAAGGGAATGGTGGGTGGAGCAACCCCCCTCCCCCACTGAAGGACCCACAAAGGGAATGGTGGGTGGAACAACCCAGCTCCTTGTTATTCCCCACCCCACCCCCCCAATTACACCTAAGATCCAGCACCTCCATCTTGGTTCATAAACTTCCGATCTGTTTTCAATAAGCGTATTTTCAACAGTCCTTGGATTATATAGATGTGGCCATTTTGCTAATCCATGTCCTTTGACCTCTCTGTAAACTTCTTTCCTGACACTAATTTGACCTGCTCTTGGAGATAAATTCCTAGGCAGGCAAAAATTACAGGCCTGTTGTCACACTTGGCCTTTCCGATCCCGGAAATCATCTGGTGCCAGGCTCCCCCATACCTTGGGAGTATGAGCCTACGGTGAAAAACCTCCTCTTTAGCATCAGCCCAACTATCAATGACAGCTCTCCGTGCCATCTGCTGCCACGGTGGGACCCTTAAGGCTCTGGTACCCAGCTTGTCCCTTCATCCATCTTAGCTCCTTGCTGGTAATTACAAATACTACTTGCACTCTGGGGCCACTTCACATCAACAGCAGAGATCAAACTCAGCATAAGCCCCTGTCCTTGACCCAAAGGGGAATCTCCACTAGCATTCAGCAGTAAAGGGCTAATGACACACAGGCGAGCTGCTCTGATTGCCCCCAGCAGATGGCAGTGGCGCACACATGCATGCCTCGTGTTTGCTACGTTACTCCCCTTTTTTAGAACAGCGCTGCTTCACGTCAGCTGATCCTGATCTGTCCGTCTGTGACCTCACAGTTCTCACCCGTGGAAACAGTGGCGATGTCTCAAGCACAGGACCACCAGGAGAATGTATCCGGCAGTCGGAGGAGGTTGATCCCAGCAGGGAATGGAACTATGTTTTACAACAGACACAGAGGTCTTGGTAGTGGGGGAGGCCCCATCATTTGGAGCAGCTGGCGTCCAGCTGTGGCGTGCGGCCTTTCGCTGTTAAAGGCCACATCGCTGGCTCTGAAAGACGCGGGAAGGTT